TCTCAATCGATGATAATACAAGTGTTCAGTAAAATACTAAAATACATATCTAATAACCCTAAACAGAAGAAGCTTGATAATAATATTGCTGCTTTTATTATTGAGGACCTTCAACTATTTTCAGTTCTTCAATCCCAGGCATTTAAAGGAATAATTGAAGGTCTTGATATTTAAGCTAATGTACTAGGTATAGATCGTTTGAAGGAAATTCTTATTAATGCTAAAGATAAAATTTTACAAAATATTCGTAAGTATGCACTTGATAGTGCTGAAATTAGTTATATTTCATTTACAACTGATATGTGAACTTCAGATAATAATGATCTATATATTAGATTAACACTTCATTAGATAAATGAAAAGTTTTAATTAAAAGAAATGATTAGCAATATTTCATACCTCCTGTATCCTCATACGTCAGTTTGTCTTTTAAATAGAATTCTTGAAATTTTAGATAACCTTCTTCTTAAAAGTATAACTATATGTAGTACAGTTGATAATAGATCTAATATCAAATTATGCTTAGAAAAATTAGGGCGAAGATATAACATGTTTAAAATTTTTTGTTTTGGTTATACTTTGCAACTTACAATTAATGATGCATTAAAAGAGTGTCTTGCAATTACAAATTTAATAAAAAAATATAAAGATATTGTATCACATTTAGCGGAAGCCCGATTTCTTTTAGAAGCTCAAATGGAGATAGATGATTGGGATAAACTTTTTTCCATAGTCTGTGATGTTTTAATGAGGTGGAACTCAACATTTTATTTATTAAAATGACTAACTATTCTTAAACCAGCATTATATAAGTATAAATTACTTTTAGTTAAAGCTAATAATAATAATTCATTAAGAAGCTATGAAGAAAAGAGCTATCGTCAAATGACTAGGAAAATGTAACTGACTTAGTAAAGTTATTGTATCTATATAAGGTTATTTTAAAGAAATTATCTGGTTCACGATATCTAACACTTTCACAAGCATGGTTCATAATTAACTTTATTAAAACAAAACTTAACCATATAATAGTAAATAATATTAGTATTCAAAATTTTAGAAGTTCTCTTTTTAATACAATTCAGATACAATTTTTAGAACCAACTAAGCCAATTAGATTTGCTGCCTTTCTTGATCCATATACTAAAGATATACAAATATTTACAGAAAATGAAAAAAATCAAACTATATCAAAAGCACATATTAAATATTTAGAATTGGCTTTTAATTATTATAATAATTTATCAAATACAGTAGATTAAATTGATTTAATCATATCTAGTAACCAAACAATTGAAGAAGATATTTTTTCTATTTTAGTAACAACTTGTTTTCAAGAAGATTTAAATCTAAAAGACAATAATGATATTACTAACTAGAAGTTTAATTCATATTTATTATTGCTGAGAGCTCCAAGTGATACAAATATACTTCAATAGTGGGCATCACGGAAAGCTGACTACCCAATATTTGCTAAACTTGCTCACAAGTACTTATCGATTCCAGCAACTTCAGTATCATCTGAATGTTTATTTTTATTTGCAGGCCTTACTATTACCGAAAAAAGAACAAGTCTTAATCCTCAATTTGTAGGATCAATTTTGTTTCTTAAACCAGCTCTAAAACTTTGGCTACTGTCTTATATTTTCAAATAGGAAATAAAAATTTCATACAAGTAGGTTAGAAAATTACTATAATTTTATATGATTTTGTATAATTGAAATTTATGAACTAATAATTTTAATTTTTATATATCTTTATACTAATGATGTAAAAATTACATCAATTTTTTGTAAAATTACGTATAATGTAAATTATGTAACCCAACCCAACCCACATACAAACTTTAAAACTTGATCAATTGAACTTGAATTGATCTAATAAATTCTCATTATTTAGATAAAAGTTCTAGTATTAGATAATAAATACGTATATGAAAAGGCAATATTTATATACATACCTGTTATCAAAACTTTTTGAAGATAAATTTCATTCTTGCAGTATTTATAGAAATATAATGGTGGGTCATACTATTTGTTAAAAAAAAAAGAACAATCAATGCATTGACACTAAAAAGAGTGTAGCTTATTTCATTAAAGATTTGGAAATCAAGTTAATAATGCATTGATCTCGAAAAAACATTTATTTTATTCAATAAGCAAATAAATAAATGAATTTATATTACTTTATATATCTAAATTAAGTTTTCATTTGGATTAATTTGAGAAACAAAAATTTCTCAATCGGTATATCATGCGAATATATGTGTATAACTCAAAATTTTATAATGATACATACATTTAGTTTGAAATCTTAGTGAGACCTATTTGAATCTATATTTTTGTCAAATGATACTTCTTAGTATAACTTAGATCAATAAAAAAAAAAAGAGTTTGACAAAATTGCTAGTACAGTAGTAGGTGTCATGTATATTATATGATATTAAAACGCAGTGCATGTTTAATAATACTGTGCCTGACACATATTTATTTTGTTACTGTCTTGTTATACAATATCCTGAAATTTTATTGGTTCTGAGTCAATTAATTTAGGTTTGGTAGCCAATTTTTTTTGACCCGTTTAACCCAAGTTAGCTAAAAATTTGATCCTTGACCTGTCAGGATACTGACCCGTTGGGTCAACCTGACCCGGATCATAGCTCTACCTGTAACCCACTATTACTTAAGCTATTCAATTAAACTCTCTGATCTGAGTTTTCTATGCCAATCCATCTAATCTCA